AGAAACGTGCCCTGTTTGGGCATGGTTCCGTTTACTAGGGAGTTACTAGGGTCCTTTTCTTGCACGTTTGGTCCGAACCGTACTCAAACACTGCCAAAGCGTTATGGAATCCGAACGTGCTTCACTTGCTCCTGCGGAGAGGGAACTGCCGGGGCCGAAGTATGAGTATACCCATTACAAATGGGGACAGCTTGAACGTGAACCCGTAGAGCCGTAGAGCTCTGGTTCTCGCAGTCCCTTCAATCTTCAATGCCACTTTGTCCCCGGCAATCCGGCAGAACCAGCATGGCGACAACGCACGTCGCATATCGCTGAGGGTGCGAAGTGGAAAGGCACGTCAAACAGGCCGGCAGTTTCCGAGTCAAGTTGGTAGCCAGCTCACTCCACATTGCACGTAGATCAGCGATCAAAGTGCTGTCGGAGGTGACAATGCTTCTCAAAAAAACGCGATTGTAGCAAGCTGCTGTCGGTTCAGGAGAAGTGCAGTGATGTAAAGCCAGAAAGCTCCTTTGCAGTGTCTTCGTTGGGAGCGATCGTTGTCGGATTGATTTGACAGTGAGTGCGTTGGCTTCACGTGCCATAGTTGCTCGAGCGATTGACATTTCGTCAGGAAGGCTCCGTTCAGCCCGGCCCCAGCATCAGCATGGTGCTAGGCGACAGCATCTATGCGGTCTACCAGCAGGCCAGGAGACTGCAGCATTGCTCGCTCGATAGACCTCGGCTCACCTGAGGCCGCCAACTCTCCCGCGAGCCGGCGCTACACCCACGCCGAGCGGGCCTGGCACCTCGTCATGCGGCATCGCGTCAGGCCGGGTATATCGTGAGTATTTCTTTTTTAATTGAACTCAACCGCGACTTCCAGGACGCTCGAGTGGTGGGCTGGCGTCTTGCAGTTGGACGTGCAGGGGCCCCAGGAAAGCATCTTGTTCCTTGCGCTCGGATCGTCGTGACTCGCCGAGGAACTGCCTCACGAAACTGGGGTCAGAACACCTCCTTCTGCAGTGGCAACGCAAGCCTCGCGCCGAGGAGCAGCCCAGGCTCGCGCCTGGTCCATCCGCCATTTGCTGAAGCCACGCCGCCTGGGAAAGGCCGCCCGGGCCGCCCGTGTGCGAAACGGCCATCGCAAGCCACAGTGGGAGGATACAGGCGCTCAGCTGTTTGAGGAGGAGACACCGGTCAAGCTGTGGGTACAGGGGTTTCGGGGGACGAGGGGGAGGGGGAAGAGAGTTGTGGGGTTTGCTTTGTCGGGTTACTGGGTCAAGTTTCGGGTTGTTACGATGCCTTGGAGGAGTTGGTTCTGGCGGAGAAAGAGGGTGTCATGGATTTCGAAGAAGAGATCTCTTCTGATCTGTGTGTGGGCGACCCTGTGGAGAAGTTGGTCGCGGAAGCGGAGCGCAAGGTGAAGTTTGCGCTCGAGGAAGCGGAGATGGCCGCTGCAGAAGCGGAGAGCTGCGAGATGGAGCTGGAGATGCTCCTGAAAGAGTTGGGTCTGAGAGGCTGACAGTGTCCGTCCTAGAGACTGCAAGCTGTCTTCAGGGGCCTTAGGGAGAAGCTTGGCCACAGATCCTCCACATGGCAACGCATCATGTAAGAAAGCACTGTAACCTTCTCATACCAAAGTATAAGAAGCGAACACTGCAAGGGTTCGAGAGGGGCCAGATTGACATGGCTTGCTTGAGTCACTAAGACGGACGCCAGCTTAAACGAGTGCGTGAGTGCGTGAAATTTGGCGTGTCGCCCGAGTTTGGATGTCAGGCTTTCCGCTTCGGACAGGATTCAAGGTTCAGGACGGCATAATGCAGGATGCCAAGATGCAGCTTGGAAGCTTCAGTGTATTTACAACTCTGCGACATGCCGGAACGTTGCGGTTCCCAGAGGTTCAAGTCGTGCGATAAGTTCGAGTCTAACCCACTATATGGGAAAATACATCAGATGCGTATACGTTGTACATGTGCAAGCAGGATACCCCTGGGAGGAATCCAAGGCCGTGCACGAGCTTGTGAAAGCAAGAAAGTTGCCTTTGGGTATAGTTCTGTTTTTGCTAGGGTCCTTTTTCTTGCACGTTTGGTCCGAAGCGTTATGGAACCCGCAGATGCTTCACTTGCTCTTACGGAAACCCGGCTGCCGGGGCCGAAGTATGAGTATACATGCAGTATACCCACTACAAGTGAGGAAAGCTTGACGAGCTTGCTCGCAGAAGTCAATCCCACTTTGACCCCGGCAGAGCCATTCGCCAACGCAGTGTAGCGTACCGCTTCGCGTGCGAGGTGGAAATATGCAGTGGAGCTGAACTTGCTGCTCCAAGACCAAAGTGTCTGGGGTTCACTGACACCTCCGTCCTAGAGACTGCAAGCTGTTTTCAGGGCCTAGGGTTGAGTCCAATAATGACCCGAGCCACAAATCCTCCACCTGGCAAGGTATAGTGCAAAAGTCTACTGTGGCCAGTTGACGTCGAAGCATAAGAAGCAAAAGCTGCAAGAGTTCGAGGGCCAGATTGACATGGCTTGCTTGGGTGCAGGATCAGCAGGTTCGTTGATGTAGGCCTATGATTCACTAAGACGGACGCCAGCTTGAACCACTG